TTTGCCTCTACTTTTTTTTTCATTTGTTACATGAAAGCATGCGCATTTTATGATTATTCCAATTTTTAGTTAAATTGGCGCAATCTCGAGTTAGAGAGCCACACGCAAAACTTTTCAGCCCCCCCACGTATACAGAGCTAGTTTAATTAGAAGGAAAAAAAGTTTCCAATATTCCTCCACAATAACCCAAATCCACTGTAGCGAAGGTCCACTATAAAGAGAGCCACTGTGTATTCGGTATTATTGGCGAATATGATAATGAAGAGGGACACTATATTATTTTGTAACACACCTTGCTCGCCTTTGATTTCCTTGACCAGCTCCGCGATCCTAGAAGCCGGCCCCGGTTGCAATCCATAATTTTCAAGTTTTTCTGTCGTCAAGCTGAGATAGTCTTTACCACTAACTTTCTGGGGATTACTGGGCGATTACTGGGCGATTATTGGCGATTACTGACAATTGCTGGGCGTTACTGGACGATTACAGGCGAATGCTAACGAAAGTTGTTGTCGTTTAGCTGTTGTATAGCAATATTGGCATTTTTATTGGGCACAACATGGTCAAGGATATTTATTAGTGAAGATTTACGTTGAAGACCTTACTTTCAACGTTTTCGCAGTTGATATTGCACTGGTGAGTAAATGTAGAAGTCGCGTCATACAATTTTTGACACTCACATGATCGGCTTTAAAGTTTTACTTGCATGCACCATATAAGGAATTGATGTGCTCACATACCGTTCGGTAAGCGAAGTATTAATATTAGCATTAATATTAATAGTTCACGCAGTGTTGATCAAGATAATCGTGGGGTTTGTTTGAAATTCGAATTAGTCGCATGATTCCCACCCTTTCTTGGAGCGGTTGTTGTCGGTTATTTATTATTATGTAATTTATTTATATCTACATGTGATCAAGTACTACCATAGCGTACTAATTAGTCTCCCGATAATAAATACCATCAACTATTACAGCTGTGTTAAGAACTTATGCTTAACAGCTTCATAACTGGCACTCATGTCTACTGAATCGCAAGATGTCAACAACAAACCCAAACAATCGCCAGGCCAGGATCGACACATTTCGAGCTTTCCTAGTGCAGCGTCACTAGTGACCCTCTCAGCACGCACCAAAGCGTATTTGCAGAGCCACATAGATGATCCGCCTTCAGATTCCGAGTCAGACAGAGAGGACGAAAACACAGGCTCTGGTGATATGAGTTCCCACTCCCTCTGGAAGCGCCTTAGTGATGTTCTAACCGTAGTAGCCGATAACTCACAAAACAATGAGACACGTGCTTCCATGTCCCGCGCGCGCCCGCTACGGAAACGTTCTGGATCGGCTAAACCTATTTTAAACCATACGCCAACCGAAGAGGAGTTAACCGCGCCGTATATACCGGAAGAGATTCCAGAACAGCCCGAGTTTATGAGATCACCAAGTGAGCCTACGCTTGCCGAATCTGAAGATGTGCAACCGGGGGAACATGAAGCTGATACGGATGCTAGAACTAGTGCTAGGGATTCGTTAAAAGCGGCTGTTCGCAGGGTGGTTAATTTTGGAAGAGCAACTGGAGAAAGTATGGGTCGGACTCACTTACAAACTGCTGAAACTATAGGCGTGCTTATACCGACATTTCCCAGTGCACTTGCTGTACCCTTTTTATGGATTAGAAAGGACAATAAAGGAAGAAGTCCGGTAAGTTGTACATGAATTGGAGTTGGGGTATATTACGATTGCATTAACTTGGTAATAAGTGGATATATGGTGCCTCAGTACATACAAATATTTGAGAAATGATACATAGAATACTATATAAATACGTATTTTCAAGGATGCAAATATATGGCATATATACTCACAGTTTTTTCACTTTTTACACAGCCTCCAGTATTATTAGATGCATTAAGAGTAAGTCACGCAATATTTAACGCCGATGATAATGTTTTAATTCTAATTTAACTTTACGCTCACCGTTCATTCATTGAATAAAGCTTGCGATCACCGACTCTGTTCCTGATGAGCACTTTTACCACATAAGTAACGTCTTCCGAATAGAACTTGAATACGGCGACATCAAATGGGTTGTCAACCGTACAGGTGCAGATTTTCTTTCACTCTACGTCGCCCTCAAGTCTCGCCTCGAATTGCCTGCCATACCAGCTTTTCCTGCTGGTATTTACTCTTGGCTTAAATCCAGTCTTTTTCCTGGTTCATCTGCCCAGCGTGCCTCTCGTGCTAATCAGGCAGCATTAGAGAGGAGAAGAGAGTTGCAGGATTATTTGCTACAGCTGACCACCATACTGAGTCTACACGTTGTTTACGAACTCTATGAATTTTTTGAATTGAGTGCTATTTCGATTACTAGAGACATGGGTTGGAAAGGAAAAGAAGGTTATTTGGAGAACAAAGTTGAGAAATTTTACAGGCCAATTTGTACCTTTAAGACGTCCAACGAGAAATGGGAGAAGGAATGGGTGATTGTTAGAGATTCGTATCCTTTTTATCTGTCGTTCGGCGAAGAGAGACTATGTATATACGTGAATGGAGGATTTGTCAGATTGCATCAGACGTCATCGTATTCAAATTGTTATGTTTACCAAGATTATCCTGTTTGCAATGTGCAGTCCAATTTATATCATTTCAAATATCCTTAACGACTGTATTAATGTACGATTCCTGCTAATAGCTACATAGGTTTCTGTACCGATATTTCTTCTCGCACACCAGCTGATGTATTCCTACTTGATAGTGACTTCAAATGTGAGATGTACGAGAAAACTGGGTTATCGGGAATGTTCCAAATGCATGATCGTGTCAACGTCGAAAATTCATCCCGACGAATTGAACTCAAGGGAGATTCTCGTATGTTAAAGGAATTTATGTTGAGTGTCAGTAGACTGAAGCAATCATCACCGTGGGTCAAACAACATCGGCACAAGTCATATGCGCCTATTAGAAAAAGCGCAAAAGTTAAATGGTATATCGATGGGAAAGATTACTTCTTTGCGGTGAGCGAGGCTATTGCTGCTGCCAAACACGAGATTTATATTGAAGATTGGTGGCTGTCGCCGGAATTGGTGAGTATGAGATCGCGCATGTTTATTATAGTCGCAAAGATGAAAGGGAACACTATTAACTAACCATACTATCTACACCCACAGTATCTTCGTCGTCCGCCAAAGGACAATGAAGATTTTCGTCTGGATAGGTTGTTGAAGAAAAAGGCCGAAGAAGGGGTTATGATTTATATCGTTGTATACAAAGAAGTTTCTTATGCCTTGACCCTGGATTCTCATCATACTAAATTTTACTTGCAAGGCCTACACAAGAATATCAAAGGTAACGCATGTTATTGATTAGGCCAACGTTCAGCACTATTACATTTGTTCTGACAAAATCCTGGTTGAATTTAGTCCAAAGACATCCAGATCATGGACCGGACGGGATTATGTTCTGGGCGGTAAGTTTAGTAGTAATAATATTCGAATGCGATGTATTTTCTTTGTTACTGACTCAAGCTTTTATTCTTTTCTAGCATCATGAGGTGCTATTTACTGTCAGCAAATATCTTGTAAATAAGTTTCTTCAATTTGTTACTTACGGTGTTTATATAGAAAATGGTCGTGGTGGACTCTCGATTAGCTTTCATTGGGGGACTCGATTTATGCTTTGGCAGATATGATACTCATACCCATCAGCTAGTTGATTATCATCCAACTGGCAGACAACCAACTATATGGCCAGGACTAGATTACTCTAATCCACGTGTTAAAGACTTTGCAAACGGTAGCTTGAAAAGAATTTGTTGACCAATAACAACATTTTGTATACTCATCGTTGTTTGATTTGTTAGTCAAGGACTTTAATGCTGAACTCGTCGACAAAACGAATGTTCCGCGTATGCCATGGCATGACGTATCCGTAGGAATGGTCTGTATATATTTCCGTAATTTCTAACAAAGATTTATAATTAATTCCATCTTGCCCATCTTTCACATAACTATTCAGGTTGGTCCACCAGCTCGAGATGTAGCCAGACATTTTGTGCAAAGATGGAACTTTATCAAAGATTCTAAGGCATACGGTCGTGAGAGTTTGCCTTTCTTGATGCCAAAGGGCGAATATGTCAGTACACGTGATGAATCAAAGTTTAAAGGTTCATGTAAAGTACAGTTGCTCAGGAGCAGTTCTGCATGGAGTAGTGGGATCAAGCTTGAGGTATAAGAATAGTAATTTGTGAGGAGCATGTTGGATTAAACGACCTTTTGGTTACTAATTGAATGAATGGCTTTTGTAGAATTCTATTTATAATGCTTATTGTCATTTAATTCGAAACGCAAAACATTTTATATATATCGAGAATCAGTTCTTTAGTAAGTTTTTCAGTCGGAACTTATGTTATAATACTTGAGCGAGAATACCATTAACGGTAATTGTCTTTCGTCATTAGTAACTTCTTCGGAAAGAGACTCCAGCAGCGTTGTTAAGAATAGAATAGGCGCAGTAAGATTCAATAAGATATTGAAGAGACTCGAATATATTTCTTTGAGTAATTAATGCTTTACCAATTTTCTCTAGCTACTTTTCGAACGTATAAAAGAAGCGCACGCGAAGAAGGAAAAGTTTCGCGTTATTGTAGTGATGCCTTTATTACCAGCTTTTGAAGCCGATTTAAACTCAAATGATGCAGGAACTATTCGGTAAATTAACACTTTTCTTGACATCGTTCTTGCGTGATTATTTTATTAACTTTTTATTTCCATGTGCAGCATGGTAATGCACTGGCAATACGTGTCCATGTGCCGAGGCGGTAAATCCTTGTTAGAGAAGATAGCTGCAGAAGGCATAAACGCAGAAGATTACATTAGCTTTTTTGCTCTCCGGAATTATGATCGAGTTAACAATATAACTAAGGACACCATTAGTAAGGAAACAAATAATAGCGATGCAGGCAGTACACTCGGTTCAACGGAAAGCACAATTAATGTCCCCGATTCGATTGCGCAATATGCAATGGGGGACAAAGACGCTCCTCCTATCACTAATGAAACAGTAGATGATAATAGCCATAAACGTGGGGATTCGTTCTCGGACGAGAAATCCATTCCTCATGTAGAAAAGGGGTTGGGTGGAACTGAGCCTGTTCGCCCTGTCGCTATGTTATCTACTGATCTCAAGCAAGCTTATGTTACGGAAGAATTATATGTACATACAAAAGTATTGATTGTGGATGACAAATACGTCATTTGTGGATCAGGTGAGTATGTCAGTACCAGAGATGTACGCTCGCCCAACGATCATCCGTAATTAATTTGCTCTGTTTGCTACCCAAGCCAATTTAAACGATAGATCTCAGCTAGGCAACCGAGACTCTGAGATTGCAATCCTTGTCGAGGATACAAAGACTGTCAAATCAAGAATGAACGGTGAAGAGTATGATGCCGCCAAATTTGCATATACCATGCGGGTAACGCTTTTCAAAGAACATCTCGGGCTTCTTCCACCACAACACCACCATACGATGGAACGGAGTAGTTTGCCTCCAATGAGTCCAGAAGAACTCGCGACATTCGCTCATGCTAGAGACGAGAGTGTATCGCAAATATTCGATTTTTCACCGGATGCACCAGATACTAAGCATCCGACAAAAGAGGATTTGATAGTGATGGATCCATTATCAGACAAGTTCTACAATTATTGGTTGGAAACTGCGCGGACCAATACTGAAACATATAGGGCTGTGTTCAGATGCATTCCTGATGATAATGGTAAGTTATTTGAATGCTACGTAGATGTGTGATCTAGTGTTTAGCAGAATTTTCGTCAAGTGAATCAATACGCGAATATGAATCAAGGGTTTAGGAGAAATTAATGGTTAATTTTGCGAGAAGTATGACCACGATATGACTTTCAATGCAAGTACTTTAATTCATGCTTAACTCTTTGTTTTATGTAATTACAGTTAGAACCTTGGAAGAATGTCGGCAATTCGTTCCGGATCCTAAGACCGTGCCTGTTGGACACGTTGCTAATGCGCAGGCTTCTGCTGAAGATGTTGGCGAGAAACTGAGAAAGATACGTGGACATTTAGTTGTATTTCCTTTGCACTTCTTAGAAGATGAAAATTTGCTTGGAAGTGTTATAGCAAGTGCTGTTACTCCTGCTGAAATTTTCACGTAACGATGAGTGGTTCATTAAAGAAATACTCAGACGGCCAAAAGAATTGCCGGGCATATTATGTATTCATAGATATTGCCGATAAAATATAACCTAATAGATATTATTATTATTAATTGTATGGGAAATAATTGTAGCATTAACTAATAAATGGATTAATTCAAGTTTTGCGTGTATTCTGTTATAATCGATAAATAAATAACGAGAACGCTTCACCAGCTTCCCATCTGCAGGTAAGGTCTGTTTACTGATAGTAAAAGGTGGCAAGGAGGCGAATAGAAATCAAAGAACAAAACAAAGTACACGTAATGGGTAAACGGTATGTGGTTGTCGATATCATGCTATGTGCACAGTGGAATAAGAATCAGGCCTCAACAGACTCGATTATTATTCAAAGTTCTGGAAAACGCTAGACGTTGCGAAGAGAATTATAGGAAAGCTCAGCAAGCAATAGATGCTGCGAACGTTCTTGTTGCAAATGATCATAAAGGGTTCGATGATTCACGCGTATAGCGATGAGGATTTTGCGCTATTATTTGGCACTAGCAACTATAACGCGGGTTCCTGTGCAAGCTACTTATTAATACATATATATAGGGCAAAAGGTTTTCGGAATGGCGTTTTTGTTAGTTGTGCAACGAAAAATGCTAATAGAAACATGAAACTCTGCAGACATGCTCTTTATAACACGACAAACCATTTTATTTATTGCCCCTTAATAGCTTATCTTATTACCATTCCCCTCTATTATTGCATTCAATCTTGACGGCATGCTATGAATCAAATTAACGCAAGTTTTTTTTTCAATCCTTTCCCACTCCTGGATTATTTTACGAAAAGCCTCAACTGTGACTTTTTGGTTCTTCACCAGATTTGATTGACTTCTTTTTCAACCCGTGTCTTTAAAATTTGCCACAAATTAAGATCTGGGCTATTTGAGACCAGCGACCTCAAGATGCCAGATTTCCTGGCCGAATTCCTTTTGCATCGACTTTTTACAATGCCTGACATTGTTGCCGACTTTGCAGCGCGTTCAAGTGTTTTCACTGATATTCCTTGACATTGACGGATTGCAATCTGCAAAATGATAGCAATGATTTTAGTGACACTTTCTCAGTACTGTAATTGAAAAGAAATTCCAACGGAGAACCTACAAGTCGACCAAACGTTTGCCAATTAAGTTGATCTCCATTTCCAAGACTGCTTGTTGAAGCTTTTTATTAGTCAAGAAATGAATGGTGTAAGACTTTATTTCCAAGCTACATAAAGCTAGTTTTAACATTATCTACTTAGATAGACAAGAGGTGAAATAAAGAATATTGGTTTTGGGGGAAGGGGTGGGTTTATTCGCGAGATAGCTGCCCTCGCTGTATTGTGTAGGGGGCTTTTGGATAGGAAGAGTGACCGACAAATTATTATTATTAGTTAGGCCAGACCAAGGCAAGGGACCGACATATTATAATAACCGGCGGGGAGACCACGACGCGATGACATTATTATTATTACAGACCGACATATTACGATAACCGGTGGGAGAAAAGAGTGTATATTTGGAGCCACGACTTTAGTGTTGATAAGAAAGGAGTATCCCTCGATAGCAAATCATCGTCGATCAGAGACTAATTAGACTAATTATAATTATAGTACTAGTACTAGTATATTGACTATAACTTTATTATGTCGATATATACAAGCAATACAAAAAACTCGAATATTTTTTTAGTCCAATTAAACCGTAAGAATGATGTTCAATTTACGCAAGCCATAATTATTATGGATTGGTTTTTTGGAGTCGTTTGGTCATTGATGTGAGTATTAATTTCCATGTCCTCCGTGCACACCTAACCAATCTTCTAGGCTCTCGGCGTTCAGAACGTCGCGGATTCCCGACCATTCTCTAAAATCATGTTTGTCACATGTTTCGTCCTTGTCATTGTCGTCGTATGCACTTTCTACGCCAATCTGGAAATCGATCCTTTGCAGTACTGTAAGGTGAATTGATCGTGCGTCAAAAATTATAGATATCCATCAACATGCGTATCACTAGCGATGGGGCAAAAATCAGTCGAGCGGATTATTCGACGACAGAAAAATACACCGTCAATAATGTTCGATTTCTACATTTACAACCAAGTCTTGTTTCAGATTCGGGAAATAAGCTTGATTGCGCACAAAGTTTATCCACCAAGGCGATTGTGTACCGATAATACTTGACAGTTCAAACTGAGAATTCCGTGGGAGAATAAAGATCGAAATAGTTAATCGACGGAAATTATTTAAAACATGTTTAAATATTACGAACTGATTTGGGCAATAAACAAGTATCTTATGTAATAATGGAACAATACTTATACGAATCGTAAGGTAAAAGATTGTATCTTACTTCGATTAATTGCGGTCACATTGTAATACCAGGTTATTTTTGTCGATCATATGTTATTAGAATGTTGATACAATGGTGACAAGAGTGAGGATTGTCAGACGTCGAGAAAGATGACAGCTAAGTTCACCCCTCCATGGTTTCATTGGGTTTTGTTGTCCCCACAATGAAAAAGATTCCCTTATCTGTGCACAGGATTTGTCTTTATTCGCCGGGCTGTACATGGTGTGACTGATTCGATCGTGTGTAACCTGCAATAGAGAAGCCTTGTTCACTTATTCTCTTTCTCGACCCGGGCTCCGGAGATAGGTGGTGTAAAAATAGCCGCAAATCCACCTGTGTGTTATTTTTTTAATGAGGATTCATGAAGATACATTAATACGTCCAGTTTGCGTCATTATAAGGATAGACCGGAAACGAGAGGTGCAGATTAGGAAAACATTAATAAACAGCATCGAAACACGAATATAATACCGAGTGTGATAATCCAATAAGCTTGTGAATGAGTCCCTGCAAGATTATCAAATGCTCAAATCAGTTTCGTCTGATTATTATGATGTATTTTGGATGTTTTAAGAATAAACGATCGGCTGCCGGAAGTAAATTCCTACAATGGCAATTGATCAACTAAAGATGAAACGTCTCATAATAATGTTGATACAACTATAATTACGACTTGGTGATTTACTAACCTCATGATAGTTTTTCCCTTTTCTTATTTTTCGGGTCCATGCCATTCTTTAAATTCTACTTAAATCGGCAGCATGTGTGCAAATAAATATAAATATTCGAATTTCATCACCGCTCTTCTTGCCCCCTCCTCCTCGATTTTCTTTTTCTCTTTCTCTCGTGTCGTCATGGTAGCGGATGTTAGATACTGGTATAAATTGAATGTAATATCAATTACATGTCATTATAAAATAACCAAAACAATCATTGTAACATATTGTTCATTATATCAACATTAAACAACGAGTCACGCATCAGCAAAATCATTTACTCATTAATCGTATCGGCCTTCACTTCAACCTTTTCCTTCTCTTTTCCTTCATATTAAATCGACAACGAACGATACCCTCGATCATACCAATAACCACCTGCTCACGTAGCAATTATGCCGGCGTACTCGACATTCCTTGTAATACATATCACAATCGCCATAGTGGCTATTCCGTTACTCTGCTACTCGTTGTATAAACTATACAGATCAAGACCGTTCAATACAAAATGGACATTATCTCACATCTATCTTACGTCACTGCTAATATTACTGTTCTGTCTGCCTACCTCACTCGTGTATGGGACGGACTTGTTTGAATTTTGGCTGGATAACGAGAGCACAACCGTTGTAGATATTGATGAAATCATTCCGGCCCACTCAACTCTATGCGTAATTCAAGCCCAGGCCCTCTCATGTCTTCTTTCGCCATATATCCTGCTACCTGTCCTCTTGTCTTTCTACACGTTCAATGCAATACGGAAAAATAAAGCTTCACTCGAATCACAGAGTTTTAAGTATGCAGCTATCGTTATATGGGGAGTTGGAGGTGTGATCTTGATTGGAAACATCATTGTGTGGCGTTCTCAAATGACTCAAGAGGAAAGCAGCCATAACTTTACGCAAGTAAACGGATCATTGCTCTTTAATGGAATACAGACAAGAGGATGGGTATGCAGAGTACAATATGTTAACTACAAGTTTACATATTTAATTGATGGTGTGTTTTCTTTGGCTTTATTTACTGGTTTAATTCTTTCAAGTGAGTACTAATACTTGGCATAATCATTTCTGTATCTTATCATGTGATAAGACCATATATGGTTCGCTGATTAATTCCTGAAAGCATATGATATATCGTTGCTTAGGAAAAAAAACGCGGCGCGCAAATGAGAATTCTGTTATAATACTAACGTGTTGATTTTTTTTTTAGTCATGTCATTCTCCATGATATTCAGCATCTGGCGGAGACAGATACGAAGACATGCTATTGGATTCAGGTCGGTGATGCAAGAATCTAATTCGGCAGTTTACGAGCACACGCATACAGTATACGTGGCTATTATAAAATTTGTATTTAATTTTGAGTTCTTATCTGATTTTTAATAACATCTCCCGCTCTCTTATAAAAAAACAGATACTCGATCTGTATAACTTTTGCAACCTTTTTCTTCACCGCGACTCACTTACCAATCTTTCTCCTTTCCGGTCTTATCTTCGCCATCGATCCTGATGGCTCGATCATTCCTCGTTCCTTTATTCTGTTCTCATCATGCGAGATCCTCGTGGGAATTTACCTACTTTTGGTTTTTGGCAGTACATACGACGGGATGCCTTTGTGTGTCCCGTATGACGAGGAGAATGAAGAATTGGGCGGGAAGGATGGGTTAGAGGACGGAAGCATTACAGTCAGTGAGCTGAAGTTTACGTATTTCGTGTAGAACGTAAGTGGTCTGTCAGTATACATGGTATGGGGTTATGATAATAACTTGTATTTCCTGAATCCACTAGTACTAGTCTCTCGCTTCATAGTATTTCCTATTCTATCATTCAAAATATCTTTCTTTTTTTCCAGTACATTGAACTGTTCTTGTAGATCAAGATCAGATGTAAATTGTTTCATCTTATCACACGATCATCCGGTTTTCTCCTGTGTGAAACTTTGGCTTTTGCTGTGCAAATAAACGACATCAGGTGTTTATACTCGTGAACATGGAGTCAGAGATAAGGGGGTGGGGTGGGTTGAGGGGCCAGAACCAAGCAAGGGATTTATTATGAGAACTTTTTATACATACCATAACAGAATGAGCATATTGTAAATATGATAATGCTATTTGATTTGCCTTTGACGTGCTAAACTGCTGGGATAAATTTAGTTCGCGTGTTTTACACCCATGTCGATGAAACTTTCTCATTATTTGAACAAGTCGCCCCCATAATGATCACTTCCACGAGTGCGATGCTTAATACTCCCAGAAATGTATTTTTTATCATCTGGTTGTAACACCAAATAAGGTTACTCAGTCAGATAAGCCACACCATATATGGAACTAATTAATACTATTTGCGTCATCAATAAGACGAATCATGAATCTGATATGGGCGTTATTGTTAGAGTTGTATCTATGTTGTTCTATTTGCAATCGATGATGAATATTCCATTACTGCATTGCTTATTGGCTCTTTGTTGAGTTGCAAACATTTTGAATCACCATGCACACCATATAACAGCAGCGGGTAGTAAACCAACAACCACCAACATTCCTTGTACATCGACTAGTTGCATTCGTGGGAAATTGGAATGTAATTAGAGTTAACGCAAAAAACAACAAACATCAAATAAATTAACTCGATACTTTAAACATTTATATTCGGCACTGGTTGCAACTAAACCCCCCTTATAAAAAACTAGCCATTATTAACGCTCACCCTTCAGACATCATGTCCACTCCCCATGAATCAACGCGACTTCTCCGCAAACAGAATGATCATCAACGTCATCGGGTCCGTCTTCCCACCGAACTCCTATACCTGATAATAACTCACCTCTCAACTCTTCCCTGCCCCGAAAAAACTCTCTATGCGTGTGCACTTTCGACGCGTGAACTCTGTCTTTACACGATCCCCTTTCTTTGGTCGCAACCTTTTAACTACGCGACGAGAGACAACAATTACAAAATCATAGACGCGTATATGAGCTTTTTCACCGACGAAGAAGATTACAATCTTGACCCAGAGGTACCCATAGTCAAAAGGCACGTTCCTTTGTTTCCTTATGCGTCTTTTTTAAAGAACTTGGAGTTTTCGAACATGATTGCGTCGGTCATGAGCTGGTGCCAGAAGGAGGGAGTTCGAGAGAGATTGGACGGTTTGAGTGTGACTGATTTGGTTGAAGGGAATAATGACACGGATCGAGTGGATAATGTCAACGAGGATAATCTGTTCAATGCCAGAACCTTTTTGCGCGAATACTATCGCGTGCGAAGAATCGAGGAACAAGTAACCCACGGACTATTGCTACACTTTATCAAGAATAATGCTAAAATCCATACTCTCCAGATCATCGGACCAGAAATGTCTTATGGATATCACGTGATGCTAATGGAGCCAGAAATAATGAACTTGTTCGAATCATTAAAGACAATTGAAGTCGCGAGCGATGGTGATGACAACGACGATAGTGAGAGGAGTGAATTGATAGATGAATTATTTGTAACTTGTAAAACGCGGTAAGTAACTAAATAAATTTGTAAAGGTTTTCGCTTGACAAAGTTGAGAGGGTTTTTAACCGTCCGTGTGAACGTTAAATATTTTTATTCGCTATGAATGTAATAACATGTAACAATAATAATAATGATCATGGTGAATAGTGTGTATAAATGTACATAAAATCCATGTAAATAATCGAGCATGCTTGAGATAGTATCCCATTATCATCTTTATGCAAATAATAAATATAGCAATTGTATCGGCAATGTTGATATTGTAAATAACTGCTCGTTTATCAATTGCTTATAGTATGTGCAGTACACGTTGGTTTATGAATTGGGCAGATTTGCTCACCATGTTGAATGTTCTCACACCATGACTGAGAAGGTCAACAATCAGCTGTTGCGATTGGCTAAAGGGATATACACCTGTGAAGGTTCTATCATTGTAGGCACTTTGAATATGCAAGTAATGGTGATGGTAACGATGAACAAAGTGAAAGTAGCTTCTGGTCCTTTTCATTTTTCTTTTCGTAGCGGTTTAAAAATACCGTATATGACAATCATACCACGAGTATAACTCACAATCTCATCCATACTTATTCGGTAGTTGCTCGGTTTTCCAACGTATGTATACCAAAAACTGTTTGTCGTTTGTCAGTTGAGTTCCTGGTTCTTTTCCCCGTTTTTAATTTTGTGGTTCCCGGACAGCCCTTTCCAAGTCGGTTTTTATAGTTGCTGCATTCCTTTAAGGAAATTTATTTTATCTCTTGCTCTCTCATTTAATTATCTTGACTGGATTAATAGTTTCACTTTCCTACTGGTGGGTAGATCAGTAGATCTTTCGATCATTGGATAAAAATGCTTAAACTTTATTAATGCCAAGTCTTATTCGCAGCCCTTTACTAGATCCAAAATCGCAACAACCAAGATTGGATTTTACCAATGTCAACTCTACCTATACAACCTTCTGTAACCTCATCTCCACCTCCACCTGCATCTCCGCCTCCACCCGCATCACTTCCATTGTCACTGTCATTAGACGCTGCTCCTCCAAACACCTCTGCATCACAGGATTCTTCTGTGAATGAACCGATTGAAGCTGAACTTCTCCTTCAAGAATTATTTGAAGACCAACTTCTCTCAGATTTGCCACCAAATATAACCATACAGGAAGTAGACACACTCATTGCCCTTGAACTTGGAACAGCATTCGAAATCACGATTGAGCGAAACGGATTGGAGGATTTAGGTGAGATTATATTGACAGTATAGTGAGCGCAATTAATGTCAATATACTGATACAAGACTGTTGTAGTTTTGATCGTTCGCCAGAATGCTACTGTATATGACTTGAAGTGCATGATTACAAGTAAGATTGAGAGAGAAGTCAATGGAGATCAGCAGACACATATTGAAACAAGGTCTCCAAAAAGGAAGCGAGTGATTAGTTGGTAAGAAAACTGGTGATTATGCTAACGATTTGTTAGAAATACTTTGATTGATTTTATTACCCGTTTAATCTTTTTCTAAAATTAGGAAATATATTTGGAATTCTTACTGTTTAATGTTTCAAACCCAGAAATTGCTGAATGACAGAGCAAGAATACAAGAATTTGGAATCAAAAGCGGGAGTGTAATCAAATTTACAAGATATATTAGGGAAAAAAGACATTTACCGGCTAGATAGAAGAGGAAAGCTGATTGAGCGCTAAAATGGGCTAATACTATTAGATCTGGTATTTTGTCTGTTGACCCGTGACTTCTGCATAGTTATACGTTGGGGATATGTTATGTGAATTACGGTATTAATATATATAGTATGTTGTAAAATAATATTAATAAACTGACTTTGACAACTTGTAATTGTTACGTATTAGTATGAACAATGATTCTCATAAAAATGAATGCTAAAGAAACTTCAAATTTTGACACTTCTCACGTGGAGAGAGATAGTAATTAAAGTTACCGACCTCAAATTTATTACAACTTCCTTCTTAGAAATTGAGAAAATTATTCTATTTATTGGCTTGCATTAGTCAGATATTGATATATATAAATTTAAACTCACTGAGTAGCGTAGCCCCAACTTACAATTCACTTAGACGACACTAATTGTTTCTAAGATAAAGAATCTACTTATAAATAATTTATCAAGAAGAGCAGAAGTAGAAATTGTTAAGCATTGATGAAGGCTAGTATAGTGCTTGAGAAAAAAAGCAATCACGAAAATAAAATACTACAAAGATGTTAGCCTCCGCATGCATGCTTATTATCCAAAACGTCTTCACATTTGTTTCTGACAAAAACACAGATTCTGTTGTAAATGAACGAACTCTACGTCCTTCGTAGTTCCTGAAGTTTTTTTTTTTTTTTTTTTTTAACTTTTAGAAAATTAAAATTTGATTTAGATTAACTTGTCTTTTTCAAGTTTTTGCGGAACTCAATAATAATATCTCGTTTCTGCTGACAAAATATATAGGCTTGTTAATTTATCAATTTCGGTAACACTAATGCCTAGTCGAGAGTTTAGACAAATAGTCTATCCACATATCATGTCGGAAAAAAAGTGCTGTCTGAAATGTCTAATCCAGTTAAAGCAGGAACAACCAAATATCGACTGACATTAAACTCAAATATCAACTTACGCGAATAATTGATGAATAATGAGCCGTAAGAGTTGATCGCACATCGTTTATTAAAATCATCAGGTTTCTTCAACAGTTGAAAGCATCCAATTACTAATTTGCACAGTCAACAACCGCAGGAGAGCAATCGATCGTCGACTCTAGAGATGCTACTCCTTGCAAATTCTTCATAACATTTTTAATAAATGCCAAAGACACAATAGATGTTTTGAACCATAAAGAGCGAAGGTTTGATTAAAAGCGCTAGAAATGCCTTTATCATTATCGGTTAATAGTACTCCTCGAGAATGGTTATTAACAAGCATAATAGCTAAAAATTCGAGCGGATGGGATTAACTCTTAGTCTACCGTTGGGGGGTACAATAGTATTTCAATTATAATAATGCGCATCTACATGACAATTAACTATCGTAAATTGTCACTCGAATAATCGCGGGACAAGAGGCGATTATTCTTCATTGATATAGGAATTAGTGGTTTCTCAGCTATACCGATAAGTTACCAGGGAATGCATCATTAACAATTTATTTCAGAGTATAAAGAACTACTCATTTATTACAATCTTTCGAGCGGACTAATTGATCTATTTTTAGCTGTTAATACTAATCATCTAAGCTATTGTCCTCAGTATACGTTTACTTTATTATATATTAATTCCATCGATGCTTGTGTCGCTGTTGTACGAATCCCGCAGCTGCGCTGGTGTTACTATTACTGCCATTTCAGAATTCAGGAGAGAATTTACACCGTAGCATCACATCGCACACTATCGAGAACAAAGCTGCATTTACATTTCATTAGGGGTTCACATCCTAATCGAGAGTATATTAATAAAAGCTTTTACTGTTGAATTTCTTCAGAAAAATAAATTAAAATACTGTTACTAGTGTTGAGAAGTCAGATCAACAAAAACTTTTGTATTTGGTATGGTAATGGACCATGAGTATTCATCACCAGAAGACAGCTGGGTAAGTTTTGGTTATACGTTCAATAAACTCTTTTCAAGATAATTTTTCCACATTGAAACTTCTTCAATGCTCACAATGAAAATACAACTCACTTTAATATCAATATTACTAGGAGATTGGACAACAATCATCTTCAGCTATCAAAAACAAAGGGAAGGGAAAGCAGCATGGAGATGCAGAGGTTAAAGATGACACTCAAATAGACCTCATTATTTTTGAAAGTGACAGCGAGAGTAACAATTCTGAAGATTGTGAACAATTATTTTCCCTAAATCTGAGCAGCATTGAATTGAATGATCAATTAACAACAATCTTAGAATCAATTGTCAACAACAATGACAGAACGGGTCATCTCATTAAATTATACAATCTGTTACTATCATTTGGAATTTTATTAGATGATAATCAATTAGTAAATGCCTTGGAAATCATAGCAAGTGGAGTTGAATACAAGTACTATAAAATGACTACTGGTATGGAATTGGAACTGCATTTTAGGATATATGCATTACTTTTAGAAGCATATGTCAGACGACCTCTTAAAATGGCAAAGAAATTTTATGAAGCTCTGTATGAGAATCTTGTACAATTACATGGTATTTATCAGTCTTACACCAAAGCACTAGAAAATGGGTTAAAAACTACATGTGGTTTATTGGCTAATTTGGAGGAAGGTGCCAAAGCTCAAAATTACAACATTGATTTTTTGCTCATGCATCTTTATGATACTCTTTATATGATGAATGATGATAAAATTGCTTTGCTTGAAATTATAAATCAGTTAAAGGCTCTGTTTTCTGCACTTGTCAAGGCTTTACCTAGTATGACTGGTATTATGACAACTGGGGAAACTCCAATTGATAACAAAGCTACTATTGAAGTCTATAACAAGATTCACAAGACCTTACAATCTAAGTTTTTTGTGGGACATTGGTACAAGGAATGGATATATCTATATAGCTTATATCAAGCATTTGTTGAATGGTCAGCTGTTCCAATTAATAAGAATCTAGTTGTTAAAGGAGAATTGATGCTTATTAAGGATCTTTGGAGGTTTGGAGACCAAGAATTGCATAAAGCAATCTCAGCACAATCAGAAATAAATGGCCATAATAATAAATCTAAACTGAAAATTGCACCAGATCATATCTCAGAATCAGTTCCATACTCTTTATTGTTTGGCATACTGGATATTGCTCAAAATCTCATAATCTCTACAAAAAATATCAGTACCTTGGCTCATTGTTACTATCTTGCAAAACTATCCCTGGATGTAGTAAGAGCAGAGTTTATTCAATTCAAAGCAATGGAGGTTCTGGTATCACTTTATATAAAAGATGCAATTGCATTTTCTGTTGTGCAAGTTGATCTAGATCAACATGCTGAAAGTTTTTCAACCTTGGACCAAGATAGAAAATGGTTTCAAGACATAAGAGAATACATTGACAAAAAATATGCGTATATTAATCAGGCAGGCAGCAGAGCAAATTTTGAAATGTCAGTCTCAAGACAGAAAGCAAAAAAAACTGGACCAGATGCCTGAAGAACTTCTTAATTCAAATCCAAATGATTTATTAATTTTAGACATGGTTGCAGACCATCTCACATGTCCATTTACACAAGAAGTTACAGAAGATTTTAGAATACTTCCATGTAAGCACAAAATCAGTTATCTGGCATTGGCAACTTTTATGAGGATGAACTGTCTTGAACTGAAATGCTTTTATTGTAGAAAAAAATGTCAATTGGCTGAAACTGAAAAATTAGCAAGCTCACCAATTTACAAAGCATTGTATGAAAAATTTGTCAGAGCTGGACATATTACACCAAAAGACAAAACAGAAGATTTTACAGCTATTGTGGCAAGTCAGGATGACAGTGTAAATGATGATGTTGAGGAAACTTCTATTATAAAATCAAAGTTTTTATATTTGCTTAAAATGAAACCAAAGAAAACTATCCTACAAAAAATGAAGAGACCAAAAAGTCTACATCCTACATACAAGCAAGGCAAGAAAGCTCTTGATGAAAAAAGATATAATGATGCAATATTATGGCTTGAAAGAGCACATATTCATTATCCAAACAGTGCAACTATCCAAATTGACCTTGCTGTTGCATATATGGAAACTTTAAACTATCAAAAATGTTATGACCACATAACTCGAGCCATAAAAAATAATCCCAACAATGCTAGAGCATGGGCACAACGTGGAAAATATTATATGCAACAATCAGAATACAAACAAGCTCTTAAAGATCTTAAACAATCATTAAAGATTGATGCAAGTGATGTACTTGCATTAGAAGTCAGGGGTAACATCTACTACATTTTCAACCAGTATGAGATGGCATTGAATGATTTCAATCAATTATTAGAGATTGATTCAAATAATAAGATTGCATTAGAAATAAGAGGAAAAATTTATTCTATACTTGATGACTCTAACAATGCATTAAAAGATTTTAACAAATTACTGGAGATTGAACCAAATGATGTAAACACACTGATTGCAAGGGTTGCTGTTTATCTTAATCTTTGTCATTATGAGGATGCATTAAAAGATTTTAACAAATTACTGGAAATTAAACCAAATGATACAATAGTAATAGTACAACACCTAAGAGGGCTTGTTTATCTCATGCTTGAGCAATATGACTATGCATTAAATGATCTTGATAAATCACTGGGAATGTATCCAGGCAATACATTTATCTTAACAGAACAGAGAATTATCAGATGTGATAGTAATTTGTATGACAAAGCATTGGGTAATTTGGGTAAATTTTTAAATGCTGAACCAGATCATACATTTGCATTGAAAGTAAGAGGAAAGATCTATTATGCACTCAAACAGTATGATAATGCATTAAATGATTTCAACAAGTTATTAGAAATTCAGCCTAAAAATGTAAATACATTAGGCATAAGAGCAGCTGTCTATTTTGATCTTTGCCAGTACAACAAAGCACTAGATGACATTAGTGTGTTTTTAAAAATCAAACCAAATGAAACTCTTTATAAGCAGTTGTCATATTTGTTTGATCAATTGGAAGCACAGAATTATCAAAAT